CTTGGAAACTGATGCCTTGAATGGTTTTAGGTTGATCACAATGGTATTTCCAGTCTTTATGTCAAATGATGTAATAACAAAATATCTTATCTTCTTGAGCCAAGAGCTGCTGGATTGTTTCTTTAAACATTGCTTGTGGCATCTAAATGGCAAAAAAAAAATGGACAGGTCTCAAGCTTTGACGATGGATGCAGTGAGAGAAAATGTACCCCTTCTGTTCCTACACCATCTCTCCTCCTGATCTGCAGCCTGAAGTAAAGCAGTTTTTTTTTAAGCATAAGAAAGGGTTAGTTGGCTCATCACATGATCCCTTCTTACCCATTGACCAGCCCCTCAAAGATGGTCTTTGCAAATTGATTTCAGGTCCATGTGTCAGACATGGTTAGATTACGGTGTTAATTTGTCGACCGGGATCTATCATTCATGATGAATGCATCTAATTGCTTGGCCCACATCGAGTTGACCATGTAGATTGCCTGGATATTTTCTGAATTGATCAGAAGCTGGGTCATTTAAATTCCTCTAAGGCTATTATCTCTGATAGATTCATTAGATAGACTATCTCTTACCATAGAACCATAAAATCCCTACTGTGTGGAAGCAAGCCATTTGACCCTTCCTGTCCTTTCATTCGCTGTAATTTTCACTTTAGTTTCTGGTCTTGGCGTTAATGTATTCGACATCTAACATCTAAATATCTCTTCTGAAATAACTGCATAGGGGCTGGTATCCCGTCACCAAGACACCCTTTATTTAAAGAGCACTTTATATGGGCCGTGACCAGCCATCTCAAAGACAATCCCTAGACTGAGGAGACCTTCTTAATTTCCTGGTTATATCTGTCAGCCAGGGCTCCCTGTTAGTCCAGGTTTACAGCCCCAGTTAAGGATCTCATTGCAATCACTACAACCTCCAACAAATTTACTTTCTGCTTACTTTCTATTATTTTTTGATTGCTCTATTTACCTTCTTGATTTACTTTGTGCTTTACCACTGTTGTTTTTTCCACTCAAATGGCCTCCCACATTGGCCCCAAAGTAACAGCAGCATAGGGAGACTTAGAGGACTAGCAGAAGAGGAATACTATTCTCCAGACGTCTGTCACAGAACTGGGAGGAACATATGAACTTAATGGGTTTCCTTAATTAAAAATGGCAATGGAGAAAATAATAAAACTCAAGCTTGGTAACTTTCCAGAACCTAATGGTTTCTGCCACAAATTACTTTGGTCAAGTTCCTCAAAATTAATTTAACTGGTGAATTGTCTCCTTGGATTAAGTAATTCACTGCTATGGGTCCATAATTTAAGAAAGGTGTGAGATCAAAACAAAGGAATTATAGATCCAGCATTCTAGTTGATGTGTATGGCAGTTCCTCAGGTCTGTTATGAGAGACAGTGGGTCGGAATTTTGCAAAGCTGAGGCAAGTGCTGATAGCAAGCCTATATTCTGCACCTCTGAGCCAGCCAGTCAACACCTCACATTCCCTCACAATTTTCATTGAGTTGGGCCACCTTCTTGAGAACACATAGCTCACAGCAGCCCCCACCCTCACCCCAGCGTGGTGATAAAACTTAGTCCAGACTGAAGGAACAGTTGAATGGTGTGCTTAGAAGGTCCAACTTATACCAGCTCCCTGAAGCCTTAATGTGTGATGCAACATATGTGTTACATTACAATTCACAGGGCTAGTGTACTAGAAATCAAACACCACTACTCCTGGAGTTGACACAAATTTAAAACTTTTATAAAGTACACAAAGTTCGCCAATGTACCTGATTTTCTGACCCAGATTGACAGAAAGCATGGACCAGGTTTCTGTACTGAACAAGTTTCACTATTTATGACAGGCAAACATACATACACACACAGACACATACACACACAGACACATACACACACACACAAACACACACACACACACAAACACACACACACACACACACAAACTGACAAGATTGAGTTATGACTCTATGACAGTTCAGCAGTCTTTCTTCTCAGGTTCTTTCTTGCATTATGTGCTAGATTTACACACGGGTTGAACATCAGATGAAAGACGCTGGGATGGGGGAGGTGTTTAACCTCCAGAAGCATGTGTCAGTTGGAGGATAAAACAAGTAAAAATGTCTCTACCCTAGGAAGCTGGATTCAACCCTCTGAAACAAAACATGGTAGTTCCCTTCAAAATCAAATGTGATAATGTTTCCATTTCTTTTAGTGTAGGTGAGCAGTGGTGCTAGTGATATTTTTCTCAGGGTGAAATGCAGGCATTGACAATGGTTCTTTTCCTGGTGAGTATATAATACCTGGACACCAGGCTAGAATAGAATCATAGAATCCCTCAAGTGTGGAAATAGGCCATTCAGCCCAACAGGTCCACACCAACTCTGAAGAGCATCCCACTCAGACTCATCACCCCCACCCCCACATCCCCCCAGTCCTGTAATTTTGCATTTCCCATGGCTAATCCACCTAACCTACACAGCCCTGGAAACTATGGACAATTTAGCATGGCTAATCCACCTAACCTGCGTATGTTTGGACTGTGGGATAAAACCAGAGCACCCGGAGGAAACCCACGTAGACACGGGGAGAATGTACAAACCCCTCACAGAGCATCACCCAAGGCTGGAATTGAACCCAGATCCTTGGTGCTGTGAGGTAGCAGTGCTAGCCACTGAGCCAACCTATGACCAGCTTGCCTCTCAACCCAGGAGTCATTTGTCTCTTGGGAAGAATTTTGCCCACATTAAGGAGGTTTAAGTAATAAGTCCTCATCGATGTCCTTCCAAGATTGACCAATCTGCCTTGCAACTGTGAGACCAAGAAACAGCAACATATATGTGCTTTCTTCCTGAAGATGTAAAAGGACAGATGCCCTGTTGAATTTCCCAATCGCTGTTCTGCATCTCCCCTTCCGTCCCAGGTATGGCATGTGTGAATATAAAGCTTAAGAGATCTATTAATGGAGAACATGGCAACTATATATTCCAGCAGCTGTAAATTTGTGACTATGTTTTATTTAATATTTGCAAACTGCTTAGTTTATTTGTAGAACACTTTCATGTTTTTTTTTTGTTTTGTAATATAGAGTGTAGCTATCAAGCCAGAGGAAGTACACTTGCCTTACAGAAGTAAAATATGGTGATTGCTGTCAATGATGAAGTAAACAATGATGCTGCTAATGGGCAACAGTTTCGTTGTGTTTTGTCTTAAATGTGCTGTTTATTATGTTTCTATTTTGCAGTCTTCACGTGCTATAGTCCTGCAGTTAGTTATTGCAATCATTAGACTATTCAGTTTGCCAACATATTTTACACTGTTCTCATCTACTCTGCATAAATCATTTTGTGTTTTACTGAGTCAATCAGAAAGTGGCAGCTACATTTTTAAAAGGTCACCAAGGTGGAAACTGATTTTGTCTCTAGGTAATTACTCCATCCACACTAATTCTGCAGAAAAATTTGGCAGCTCATGACGTCTGGCAATTTCATTTCACATTACATACATAAGTGATCAAATAAAAAAAAAACTCCATCAAATGAAACTCAATGCAATCATATCTAAATCCAGATAATTCATTTTTGATAATAGTTCCTTGCTTCTTATTTTTGGGTTTGAGCCTCTCTGACAAGCCTGCTTAATTGCTGCCTTCTCTCTGGACCTGGATTTAAGCAAAGATGTGAAAAGCTAAAATACCTAAGTCAATTGTTTCCTGTGGAGAGAAATGACCAAACTATCTTAGATATAGACTCTTTAATGAGATTTTGGCTTTATCCAATTCTGGCACAGAGAAGTCCTGTGGAATGCATTGGTAATCCAGTAAATCTTTATCTCTTTGCTGTTGGTTGATGTGTCTGTTTGCCATATTAAGAAAAACAACAAAAAAACACCATAGACGGACACTTTGGAATGGATTTTACAATTTAATTCGTTGTGTAAATCATGCAATCCCACTTTGGACATGGATGAAGATTCATGCTGTAATTTCCATTATTGTTTCAGCTTCAGGAAGATAATGCAAAGGGGACAGAAATTTCATTATGATTAATTTTAATTTTAATATTAATTTCCATATGTTTGTGCAGTCATATATTCTATTCAACATAAAATCCGTTGACAGACATTCTGGAAAAGGCAGTTGAAAAGTCACTTATGACGAGCTTTGCGAAATTAGTTGTCCATTAGTCAAGTATTTTGTCTTTTGCTTAGACTAATGTTTACCATTGATCCATCATTGCCTCAAACAGGGGCACACTGGTGAGATTGATGCCTTGGTGCCTGTTTCCTGGCAGTTTTACCTCCAAAAACAGTATCCATGACATGGACACACGGTTCTGGTACTCACTTTGTTGGATGCTTTCACTGGTGGAAATGTTAACAGGTAGAACATTCCTGGATGTAGGTAAAGTCAGCAGATCACGACTTCAAGCAGCATCAACACCCCCCCTCTCCACAGTGGCAGTCCTATCTATAGGAATTACCAACTGCTTTCAGATTAGTCACTGATTTATTTCTATTGTTGTTTGCTTTGATTGTTGATGTGTTGGTGTTCTCCAGTTTAATTTTGTTGATCTTTCCAAGGAGTGGTGTATTATGTGCTGATCAACTTTTCACAAGCCACTTTCTCTCAGATATTGACACAGTAGTTTGCATTTTGCTTGAATTAACTGTTGTGGTAATGTAGTGCAAGTTAAGGTACATGAAAAGGGAAAAGGGCTGTAGGGAGAAACCTCGTCTTCCCGCAGTGTACAGGGAGCAATTCTCCTACCTGAAACAGAATGAAGAACAATATTACGCATCTAGGCTTGACATAAGAGGTCTTAACTAAAATATAACACTTGCTGCAGGCTAGAGACAGCATTATTAGAGCTGTGAATGTGATTGTTGTCATGAACATTTATGTGTGTATGATACAAAACATAAGCACACAGATGAACCAAATATCATTAATTGCTGTACTTCACTGTTTATCAACTCGAAGGTGCACTGAAACCAAAGGGATTCTACTGTAATGCTGAGCAATTAAAAAGCATCTTACTTTTTTGTTATTTTTGCAAAAGTTATTATGCCTTTGTCTGCAGCTGTCTACTGTGCCATATGCATTTAAACAGTCGCAATGAACCCAGAGGGTGATTAATAATTAATTTGAGCCTTCTGTGGAAAACATTATTCTCAATTATACTGCTAACACACAAACAAGCCATGATGGCTGTTCACTTTTATATTCCAAGGAATACCGCAAACATTAGTCAATCTGTTGTGACCAATGCGTTTGAGCAAGTTCCAAATGCATCATTTGTTAGAGTAGGTAAGAAATTTTTGGCAATTTCCCCACGGACTAAGGGGGCATTGGATAATTATTCCAACCATGAGGGCATTGGCTGATGATTTGGATAGAAATAGTGTGCACAAGCATGGAGAATAAAAGCAGGAGATTGGCAATAAGTAATGAAGTTCATTTGAAGGACTGTTACTGGGACAGTGGGCTGAATGGCCTCCTTTTGTGCTGTAACACTTCTGTGAGTCCTGGAAATAGCATAAGAGCACTCTGCAGTTTTAGTGCATCCGGACTCTTAGTTTTCTAGGTATGATAGTTTGCAGTCAGGTGTCTCCTTATCCATCCTTGAACATTGTGAGTGCCAACATCAACAGAAAAGGATACTGAACTGAAAATGTCAGAACTAACACAGAGCAGCTCAGTAGCGTCTGTACGGAGACTGTTTGTGGACCTTTCAGGAAGCAGAATCCTCCTTGAAGTGCAGCTTGTTAGTAGTAATCAGCCACTGCTTTTATCTTGCAGCAGTTGTGATGCTTTTTACACACAAACCCCACAATGTACTGAAAGAACACAGTGTGCAGCTGGAGGAACACAGCAGGCCAGGCAGCATCAGAGGAGCAGGAAAGCTGACGTTTCGGGTGCTGTTATCTCTGACTCCAGTATCTGCAGTTCTTGCTATCTCTGAATGTACTGAGAGATTTCACATTCCTTAATACCTCACCGATAAGTAGAGAAGCAAATAACATCTAGAGTTAACAAGAATATCCTGCTCAGCAGAAGTTGACTGTTGCAAAAGAAGTAACATCGAGTTAGTGGTTGCTGCTGTTCATACAATGTTCACTGGGGTAAAGAAGAAGGAAATAAAATGGTCAATAAGACACTGCAGCTCTACCTTTCCCTTCACAAGCACATTCTCCGGCTTCATATGATTTGTTTTATACTTACAGGTATGAAAAGTTGGAGATACGTTTACTTTAGTTTTATCTAAGGTCTCATAGGTTACTGTCCTATCCTTGGGTAAAATGTGCTTAACTGATATAAGACTCCAGTAGTGTGGCCACCTCCAGGAATACACTCTAGGAAGGATATGAAGGCTTTGGATGGAGTCCAGAAGACATTAACTTGGATAGCTTCAGGGATAAGATTGGGTCACATGCATAGATTATCTTGTGACAAATATGGTCTGATTGGGCTTTGAATTCCTCTCACATACCGTCTACATCCTAAATGATTCATTCCTTAAAAGCTTGAAAAATGTAAATATAAAGTTGGTGCACTTTTACTGAAAAGTAATTTGAGCTAAGTTTACCATGTGAAGTTGGTCATTAATTTCTGCTTGTTGCTTGATTCGAGGATGTCTACACAGGGTTGCAAGTTTCTCCTGTGGATCTCCATGTGGGTGAACAGGATGATTCTCAACCCACAGATCTTTGGGCACATGGAGCAGAATATCACATGAGGTAGTGGGATTCAGAATTCAGGATTTGTTTTCTTTTTGAGATAACAAGGTGTAGAGCTGGATGAACACTGCAGGCCAAGCAGCATCAGAGGAGCAGGAAGGCTGACGTTTCGGGTAAGGGTCTAGGCCTGAAACGTCAGCCTTCCTGCTCCTCTGATGCTGCTTGGCCTGCTGTGTTCATCCATCTCTACACCTTGTTATCTCAGATTCTCCAGCATCTGCAGTTCCTACTATCTCTGAAACAATTTGTTTTCTTTTTGTTTATTGTCTGCCACTGCTCTGTTTCATTATTAAGATGGTGCAAATCAACATATGCTACAACTTGATAGTCAAATTATTACCATTTTGAATAATTGGTAGTGAGCTCCTCTCAGTCTCTATTATCAATGCTGTTGTCCCTCAAGGAGAACTTCAAAGTGTAAAGCATTTGAGGCATTTTCTTTGTCGTGTCCTGAAATTTTTGCCATTTGAGTAAACAAGACTGAGCAGTTGAGATGATTTATAAATATGTGGACACAGTGTCCAGTCCATCAAAGTTGATTTTTCAGGAGTTCTGCATGATTGCTTGTGGAGCTAGCTTCATGATGGTCATTAGTGTTTGTTCAACGCCCTCCCATTGAACCCAGAGTATCTGAAGGGTGCGCTACAGTTAGAACCTCTCAACCACTCATACGTGTTGCTGGTACACTGTTCAAGTCTCACTGCAATGCAGGGACGTGCTGCCCTGTTGTGTAGGATGTTTGTTGAATTATTGAGATTGTTATTGTCAAATAGTTGTGGTTGTAGTTTGCAGAAGTCTGCCACTCAAAATTGGATGTCCCCAGTCAACATTTCAGCAATTGTTAGCAAACAAAGTCCAGACTAAAAATACTGCATCTCACAACTAAGTTTCACACAGAGGAAACATTCAAACACTATAAAGTGTGAGAAGGTAAAATGAACAACAGTTGAGAACTCCTTGGTGGACAGTAAACTAAATGGTAATGACAATCTGTGAAATGTTTCGCTCGCACAATGAAGAGAGGATTTAAAGATTAATGTTCAGAACTACCACAAATGGCTCTGCTTACTGTGGCATGTACCTGTTAATTACATATTTAAGATTTATTTTTGATTTGACTTTTTATCTTTCTTCTCATTGTTGGCTTTAAAGAGGGAAATGCTGAATACATGGATGGTGGGTCCTAATGGCTTTTACTTGTTCTCCGATGTCAGTCATGTATGACAATGACACTCCTTTCACATTATCAGATACATGGGTTGTTGATTTCATCACATAAGACATTAATGTAAACTGATATTTAACTTAATAGGAGCAAGGAGCACTTCACAGAGTGCATATCCATCCTCTGATGTATTGTTTCTTCTGCAAAGATCATCACATGAATGCCATGTGTCATGTCATGACTGTGCAATTCTCAGGTGAACTGAGACCCTTCCTCTACATATACATATGTGTCAACATACATGTGCAACTCTTAAAAAAATGTTTTCTGTCTGTCAGGCTGCTACCACCAGATAATTGATTTTAACGACTGGGCACATGACTACTGGAGAATGATGGCCATGTTGATGCTAAAGTGAGATAATGCCACTTATGAGGCTTATATCATTGCCATCCTCCTTTGTGCAGTGGACCCGATAGAAGCATTCTGCTGCAGCTTTCCAGCTCTGGGCCTGGGCAGTTTCAAACAATCCACAGGTTGACATCATTGGCAGCCAAGTAGGCATGTGGCAGATGAGGTGTTTGATCTCAAATAAAACAGGTAGTCTGAGGTGGATGTGACCCAATGATGGGCATTCCATCCCCATTCCAGCCTTATGAAAATCATTCAATACATTAAGATAACAAGGTGTTGAGCTGGAAGAACACAGCAGGCCAGGCAGCACCAGAGGAGCAGGAAAGCTGACGTTTGGGTCTGGATCCTTCTTCAGAAAATGTATTCAATACATTGTTTCTCTTTGTACTGTTAGATGATGACATGTTAGGGATTGCATTGTATGTTCTTCACCCACTCATCTCCCAGAATGCCAATGGCATCCTACGTAAGTGGTAACATGCAATGTCCATAATTAAATTATCTTCCACTTACAGATATCCAACAGTAGTCCTTTGCAGGATGACATTGATCAAAGTGGGTGTGAAAACAAATCAATACAGTTCTCTCCCTTCACCAATTCTACTCTCTAATCCTTTCATTTTTTAGAGGGGTATTTACCAAAGGAGCCAAGAGAAGCTTCTCCCAGAAAACAGTCTTGAGAAATCACCCAGGCGTCACCAGCTGAAAGGCAGGACCATTAGGAAGAGCTTTGCCCATGGAAGCCACCCATTCCCATAAGATTTCAGAAGCAGGTTAGATAGCAACAGTTAGTTTCTAGAAGCAGATCAGCCAGTCAGCAAGCCCATACCTGGCAACAGCACAAAGTGAGACAAGATACGTTGCTTCCCTGCAGTGATGTAGACGACAAGTCACATTTTATTGTTGATTCTATTTTGTAAAAACATAAAATATTTTAGTCATCCTCTGAGTTCTTGTTTTGTAAAAACATAAAATATTTTAGTCATCCTCTGAGTTCTTGCTGTTCTAATGTTCCTTTTTCATCTATATTGTCATTGGGTGATTTTCTTATTGGAAAACATAGGGGATTTACTCCAAACTATTCCAATTCTGCAGATCTAGTCTTTTTTTCCTTTCACTCTGTCAAAAACAGCTTCTTGAAATACAAGCTTGTCTGTGTATTTCACTGTCTGAATTCATTGCCCCCATATTTGTTAATTTCTTGACGTTGTTCTCATCTTCAACATGCAAAAGGAGGTGAAAGTAGTTCAGTGCTTCCCAAAAGTTTACATGGGATTGCAGAGGGAGTGGCAGCAGGGTGTGGCCTGGTGATTGTGATGGCTGACTTTGCCACCTTTGGATAAAATATTAATTTCAGTTTGCCTGTCTGTTGTCTAAGACATGCTGAAAAATAAATACTTGTGGTCAAATGATACCCATGATCATTTTACGTTGGTGTTACTGTTCCTGTTTTTAAAAGCATTTAAGATGAAGAATATTTCAGGCATTAATGTGGATGATGGAATTTGAAAATCAATAGTTTATATTTTACATAATCATAACTGTTGTGTGAGCATTAATACCAACTCTACTAATCGTGAAAATTTCAGCTAAAGTAAAAATCAGGTGAGTTCATTTATTTGTCACTGTGCGATAGAGCATCAATAACAGTTAGCATTGACAATTTTTAAATCATATCTTTCATAGCAACTCTTAAGTGTTGAATGCAACTGTGAGGCATGCTGATGGACGCCATGAGGCGAACAGCATTGATCATACCTATTAAATGCATTGCTGCATTCGTAATTCTGCAAAATTTAATTATTCCAGTTAATTTGCTGCAACTGTTATTATTCTTCAAAACTAACTTTTTGCAACTATTTTGGTGTTGAAGTTCCATTGCCTGCAATTATCATGGTAAAGATTTTCACGTATTGCAAATTTTAAGTTATATATCTGGATAATTAAATGTTATTCCTAATTCTGTCAAAAGGAAAGATTATTATAGTGCTGTCTGGTCTAGTATCGAATTTCAAAGACCAGCAAGGTGCCATGCTCAATCAATCTCTGTTGTCGCAGCAAAGGGAGATTCCTACCTCTGCACTGTGCACTAGAACAAAATTCACTTAATATCACTACTGTGGATCAATAACAGGTAGAAAATGTTCATGTCTCAATTTAGGCTAATGTTGGGCCGTGATACCCTTTCCTCTTGGAATAGTATCTTGAATTGAATTGAATTGAACTGAATTGAATTAGCTTTATTGTCACATGTACACAAATAAGTCAAGTGAAAAGTTTACAAATCACCACTTAACGGCACCATCTTAGGTACAAGGTACCTCGGTACAAATTCTTCAGTCCTGGGCATGCTTATGAAATATGACAAGTTGAAGAATCCTTGATTACTCATCAAATTTATTCAGTCAATATGTGTGTTGTATATACCAGTGAGGTTTGGTTCAATTCCTTCAACAATTCCCAGCTCAGATGCAAAAGCAGTAGTTGTGCTAAAAATTGACACAGCGCTTTAAGGGTACGGAAATAAAAAATGCCAGAGTTCCTGCTTCTTATATTCGAGTGACCTTGAGACAAAAGTGTGCATGTGTCCTCGTGGCACTGTGGATCTACCTACAGCAAATGCACTGTAATGGTTCAAAAAAGCAGCTCACCACCACCTTTTCAAGGGCCACTAGACTGGGCAATAAATGCTGGCCCAGCTAGCGATGCACATGTCCTGTGAGTAAATTAAACAAAATGTGTGAGCATTGTGTCCTCACAATCCATTGTCTGGCCACCAATTGTTTTGAAGGTGTACATAGTAGAAATGACTATTTGAGCAAAGTATCAAAGATGTCCAGTTCATTTGTATTTCAGCCAGGCATTTGTATTTATGAAAAGTGACAGTGGACAAAAAAAATTGACCACACAAATAAAATTTCAGAAAATTGCTCATGTTATTAGAACTGTAACCCAAAGTGAATCGTGTCAGAAATTCTTCCAAGGAGTCTTTGTAACAGTCTGTCTGTGGAGATCTAGAAGTTGGTGAGCCACCTTGAGGTTCCTGTTCTTGATGCGGTGGCAGCATTCTAACAGCATTGTGGATGGACCTTCATTGCGTAGGCTGCAGGAATTGTTCTCTTTTGCAAGCAGGTTGGAGTACAGGAATAGAGAGGTCTTGTTATAATTCTAAAGTGCTTTCGATAGTACCTTAAATTCCGTATGCAATTTTCACCTTGATATTTATGAAAGGATATGCTTGCATTGGAGACAGAACGGCAGAATTTCACTACATATGTAACTGGAGTGACAGGGTTCTTCTATGATGAGACACAAATCATGCCAATTTTCTCTGGAGTCTCAAAGAAGTAACAATTGCATTGAGACCTGAAGGGATTTGAAAGTGCAAAGACTGAGATGTTGTTTCCACGGGCTGGAGAATCTGGAGCAGGGACGTTTTGTCTCTGACCAAGGGATCAATCATTTAGGACAGAGACGAGGAGACATTTTTTTGAATGGGTTAAAACCTTTAAAATTCTCTTCCCCAGAGGATTGTGCTGCTTCTTTGCTGTGAAT